GTTTTGCGTTTTGAGGTGGGTGCTGGGTGCTGGGGAGGGGTTGGGGAGGGGGTGAAGTGAAAGAAGATGTTGGGGGTTTAAGATTTGGTACTTCGGTTGTGTCTACCGTATTGCAGATTGAGAGATGGATATTGTGTATACCTATGTTCTCTGTTTTTCGAATTCATCTGTCTATTTAAAGCTAGAATTTTGACGGGAGTGATTTTGAGGATTGAGAATTCTGGGATCCTAGAGGTTCGAGGATCTGAGGGTTCCTAGAGGTGGCGAGTTGAGTGCACTTACATACTGCTAGGTTATCTTACCTGGTTCTATGCAGATGGAGATGGAGATCAGAATCTGGGGAATATCAGATGACTCTTGTGACTTGTTAGTCCTGTGTGGGTAACGTGGGTGACGTACTCTGGGGTTTGGAATTTTAGGCTCGGAGACTGTAGGTACGAGTCATGATTACAACGCCACATGAATCAAATAAATCTGGTGGATTGGAGAAAGGGTAGGGGATGTTTCGTTTTAATACTCTGTTCTTGTGGGGTTTGGCTGCTTGGGGAGGGAGGGTTAAGTGTACTTTTGATTTCTGTGTATGTGTTCTTTTGATTCGTGTGAATGGGATTGATATCGTGCAGATAGATAGATCGATGAAAGCTTTTGTTACGGTATCCTCATCTTCATATGGAGGTCTTTATGTGCAATCTGAGCATTGTATTGTAAGATCTTATCATACAAATTAGATGTAGCGAGTCGGCAAGTTGAGATAGAAGGAGAGGTTAATGTGCGTGTATTCTGTATTATCTCGTTGCTTACACGGGTGGATTTGTTTCGTTCCCTCCTTATTGCAATCAAGATTCATCACAATCTTGAAGTCATTTCTTCTTGAGAATTCTTAGAATCCTTAATCCCAGTCTTTTTTCCGTGAATGCGGTCATATTCATGGTTGTATAGCACAAATAGAACACACACATAGAATATCATCAGATACGACAGTTTGTATCTCCGCCTACTTCCACGAATAACTCTCTTTCTTCTTGGCTGCGGGTTGCCAAACTACGTTTCATATGCATGACACAGTCGTACACACTCGCATTCTGAACACCACAGTTCTATTATTCCTTCATTCCTGCATTTCCAGAATGTGATTGATACTTTTCAAAAAGCGCATGCCTACATATCTCCATCATCTTCATCCTCATCTTAGAGTTAGAAAGAACTTTCTTGCTTGTCTAGCAAAAATAATCTATCGTTGAACTTAGAGGTGAAAGCGCTCATATTTATTTAAACTAAGATGTATATGGTAAGACAGATATAAAGAACTCAAAACTTCTAGCTCTCTCTGTCTCATAAAGCACACTCAGAAACTAACAAATCGTAAACTTGCGAAATGATTTTTGGCCCTCTTTCATGAGGGGGTTTCTCCGGACGCTGAGGTCAAGTTGCTCTAGAAATGCGATTACGCAGTACGACTACATCTTTGACTTACAACTCTAGAGTTCGAATAAATTTGAAGAGGGAATATAAACATGCTTTTGTGCCGGAAATCAAAAAGAGAGAATCGAATGTGTTTCGGTACAAGATGTAATAGGTAGATGGGACCACATACTAGAAGTCCAGACGTGGATGGAAGTGTGGAGAGAACTGTATGGGTTAATCTCAATTGGAAATTTTGGTGATGAATTCGAGCTTGATGTATAAGGAAAGATTAGGATAGTTGAGAACTTGAGATGACGAGCACGAATCATAATTTTACTTAGCATCATCATTAGAGATACTAGGCATGATCTAGATGATTGGAATGCGTGAGCTCAAATCAAGAATCTTTATCTCTGAGTGAAATATTACCTCGATAATATGCAATAGATAGGAGACGGGATCTCTAGCGTCTCATAGAGAGAAATTTTTTATTATGTGATGCATGATTTATATGTTCCTGTACTATCCTAATCTTCCGATTGTTCTTCTTCCCCTTGGGGGGGTATATGACCAGATCATCTTTAATCTTTCCATCTTCTCGGCTTTTAATTCTCTGTATGCTCTGAATGATGGGTTTCTGGCGCCTGTGGCTAAGAATACTTCCTGCTCCGAAATGTCTTTCTATGTCTTGTTGTATCGCTTATTGCTGATGAGCGATTTCTTACCTGTGTATTGATTTTTTGTTCGAGGAAATAGTAGCAGGGCCTGTATTGCTGGTTTCTTTGCCAGTTTTCTTGCATCCAAACGAAGGATCAGAGTCGATTTGATTGAGGCTCGTGGTGCGGAATCGTGCCCATCAGGACCCGCTTTGATCTCTATGGGAGTATGGCTACTTTGGGATCTGGCACTCGAAAGAACGCGACTCGTGTTCCCATGTACAAGATAGCTGGTTACCTTTCCTGTTGAGTAAGTGTTCTCCGAGAGGAGATCTGCGGGGAGCCGAGTCTTCACTATCATCAAATGGATGCCTTTTACTCAATGGAAACAGATGTGAAATTGCGTATATTGCTTTACTCGGTTTGCGCAAAATATTGCTTCATTTCTGACACTGATGTTGACCGGTTTTATGAAGATCTTGATATCGTTGGATGTATAGTTATAAATCAGCCAACAATCCATGAATCTTATCGGTGTTTTTAGTCAGACTAGCATGGTTTTATTACACATATTAATGTACGTCTGTGGCCGTTACTTAATGGTTGATGACCAGATTGGTTGTTTGCTGTTAATAGCTTTACATGTGAAGGACTTGCACTAAATGTAGAGCTGATGGAGCCTGAGCGGGGTAAGCAGTCTCTCCGTAGAGTTTTGTAGGGTGAGTCTACTAAAAGTTCATACAACTTGTGATGTTGAAGTTTGAGGGTATTGTTTTGTTCTTGGTTTCTTATAGTTATTTGAGTTGTACTTTCTTTTCTGGAATCTATATATTGGTCCAAAGCTCACAGGGCTGTATAGATAGCAATTAATGCCATACTTGAGAAGAAGAGATATAGGCATAACACGTATAGCACATTTTCCTTGGAGATGAGTTGGATTGGTGGCACTGGTAACGCTTGTTATTATTTAGTGCGGGTGAGAGTTGGGCGTTGCTGAAAGCCGGTGCTATGTTCATAATGTGTGGTATCAAATGCGAGTCTCGCAAGGGCTCGTCTAGTCACCGAGGAGTTGCAGAAGTCAATTGAGTGGTGAAGACAATGAGTGAGCCATCACCATGAGATTTGAGTTGTAAATGTTTGTTTATATAGAGGTATCGCTTTTGGGGTATAAGCCAGGTCTCTTATTTTGTTTGTTGTTGTCTATGTAGAGATAGATACAAACGATTGGGGCTATAGAAATAGTTATGGTTACAAACCGCAAGTTTATAAAATCTGCAGTATTGTAATATATCAATTTACCATAGTCCGAGGACTTTTTTATGAACTTACTACAATCTGCAGTTTGGTAGTACTCCGAGCCTTTGAATGAAGAAATACAGCTCATTTATTCGAAAGGCTCGTATTTTTGCATTTGCCAATACTAAAGTTTTAACACCCTGTCCATCCAACAATCGACAGAGGTCTCTGGTTTCTCGAAGTCTAGCTAGGGCTTGGTAAAGAATTTGGCTTTGGTTTACCCTTGAAGTTATTGGATGACCCGCTCAGTATCTACTCGCTAGACATTCGAAAGTGTTGCTATTGCCGTGGCGTGGTGTGGCAATCGAGTTGTCCGGAATAATTGAGCCGTGGGTATTTACGTTTATATTGCAAGTTATGCGATATCTAGCATGAGTCAACCTAATTCTATATTCCAAAGCCACTCTGGATTAAAGAAAATGTCAATGCATTCATCTCTGAAGAGGTTTCAGCCAAAGACGAGGGTGCTGACAATAAAAGTGTTGAGAAGCATCATGTGAAGGTAGGATGACGCAATAGATATACAGATGCATTAGTCTAACAATGGAATTATACGATTTTTTAAGTTCATCATTTTCTAAGAGATTCAACATTGTTTGTTGTGTTGTGCCAATGAGTCAAGGTTTGTGAGTAAAAAAACATATTTTACCCCGTGTTTCGCTCGGCTATAACCGAGAAATTAGCAAGCAATTAGACCACTCTCACAATACCAAAGATCAACAATTAACAAACAACAACTCATGGACTGGTTGCTAAGGAATTTGTTCAATGAGTTGTTTATTTTTTTATGAGATTTCAGTCTACGTGAATTGTTTGATCATGCTTTAATTTATTCAGATTAATTTGTGATTTCCAAACAATTAACAAGCCAAGGTCTTGGAGGGCACTTCCTTTTTTTTAAACCTAATTGAGCTAAATGGCGCATCCTATCTAGATGATTATAGTCAAGCTAGCGTATCACTGAATATCTATGTCAGACTATGAAACATCAGGCATGCAACAATTGTTATGTACTTGCTATTTCTGTAAAATTTAGTCTAACACGGGATCTTGATGCGGGAAATAATGTTGAGAGCCTATATTATTCTCTCTTGTAACTGGCCAGCTGATTAAAAAGATGTGAATATGCCTTTATGTTGCTCATCTGAAACTCTAGTGGCGTTCTTAAATGAGCTAGTGAAAGGTACTTTCCGTCATGTCCCGAATTGTTCTATATTCAATATGCTAGCCCGAATATTTTGGAAATTAGATGAATTCTACTGGCTACTCAGTACATTTGAAAGCCCCACATATTTTACAGACATGCAACAGAAGAGCCTGAGGTGGTGGATATCTCCCCGGGCACCCGTGCCATGTGCTAGACAGCCCTTATGTGAATATGAAGAGCCAATAAAAGCTTCAGAAAGGTTATCACAACCTCATGGGGGTTTAAGAAATAAGAGATGGGACAGAAGTTCAGATATCTAAGGCGGTTGGCGCAGTTATTTTGACCGCCTGGATAGGGTTGGTTGAAATTCTTGATAGGTAGACATTGGGTTGCTGAAAATTGTCAAAACAACCACAAATACTTTGAATCAAATCAAAGTCCTCGAAATAAACAAATCAAAACCAAATTCTCACAATATCCACCACTAGCTCATCAAGATGGGTCAGTTCCCGGCAAGAATCATGTTGACGCTTCTCATTGTCGGCTGCACTCTTGTATGTGTCTTATCAAATGCTTTCAGGAAAATTTCAAGGGCGTTTCGCAAATTTGCAGCACTTAGATTCGAATGTATACTAGTGATTGGTCATTAAGTTTCTCCTATACTACATCTGCCAGAAGTTGGGAGAGTATCACGACGATCGACTTACCCGGAAGGTCCACGACTATGAGATGGAAAGACGTGAGAGAGGCAGTGCTAGCTTTGATGGTGTTGACGGCGATAGGGGAGGAGGAACCGCTGCTGCCAGAGATATTGAAGACACTACTGCTAGCGGAGCTGGTGGAGCTCTAGAGGGAGAAGATAATGGAGATATTGGATTGGCTCGTACCCTACCTTTGGAGGGATATTGGTTCGGCTCGCACTTTGCCGTTGGAGGAATGAGTAATAATGATGTCTTCTACGCCTGCGGGCGAAGAGACCTGATTTAATTCACAATCCAATCTTCATTCCCGCGCACAACTTTTATTATCAGATTTCTATGTATTTTATGGTGATGTCAAGTGGCTAGTGAACAGCAAGCGATTGGTAACGAATCGACGGCGAATAACAAAAGGGAAGTACTCTTTGACCTTGTTCCAAATACCAAACACTGGCATCCTTAGTAGCTTCGGTAAGATGTTATTGACCTACTACAAGGAGCGAATGGCAACCGATAACTCCCAGTAAACTTTCAGTAAGACAAAGCTAACAACTACAAAGAGTCTGGCCGCAGAACAAGTGTAGCCTCATTAGCTTTGATAAGATGGACTGGGTATCTAATGGAAATCCAAAGGTATGGAATAATATCATGCAGAGGCTTTGTGAGGAGGAGCTAACTATTGCAAAGACTCTGAATACAGGAAAAACTACAACCTTAGGAGCTTCGACAAGACAAGAGCAAAGACAAGAACAAGAACTACGACTTTCTGGTCTTCTAGACCACATGGACAGGCATCTCATCAAATACACTCGGCAGAAACAGAAAAAATCAAGGGTAGCAACAAACATGAGAAGCTGTCATCAAAAGAATACTGGGGCTGCACCACTCATTGCAGAAAGATTTTTGATGCCACAGTAGCACAAGGGTGGATGAAGTTGAGATAGAAGGGTATATTTTCGAAAACAAGAACAAAGCCAAATCATATCCACTCGAAGGTTCCTTACGCTGTATAGATACATTTCCAAGAATTACAACAAGATTTTTTGAAGTTAGGGTCGAGAGGGTGTTGCAAGTTGATCATAAATTGTCGAAAAGTGGTGGATTTGATCATGTCTCTCGTCGAATGTGGTTGGACTTGGAACAGCTAAATGTGCAAAACGAAAAAGACTTTTACAATCTGCAACAAAATTCAGACATTGGCACAGATATACCCCTTAATGATAGAGAAGGATGATGGAAATGAAGAAATCGCGTGGTTGTGGTTTTTAGTGCATGTAGATCCATTGATTGATACAAGAACAGTGGAGTGTGAGGTTTTGTTGTCAAATTTGTGTGCATCTTCTTATGTTATATTAGAAGCAGTTGCGTAGTTGGGTCTAAAGTAATAGGATTAAGAGCTCACTTGAAGCCTGGGTACCAATTCCGGGAGGAATTGCTCTTGATACTTAATCTTCTGCACGTATTCCTCATTTCACCTTTATCGTGTGAACCTGCTTGCTATTACTCAGGGATTAGATGTTGGTAAATCTCTGCTTTACAATCTTAAGATTGTCCATGACTGGTACATCCCCACGTAATTGCATTTTCATCAAGACACGATGCCATGATAATGAGTCCATCTTGAGTAGACTCGGTCATTGGAGTCTCCAGTGACTGCCATCTCTTGAAACCTCAAGCTGCTGCTGAGATTCCTGTGCCATTGTGATGAATCCTTCAATTGTGATTCGTAGATCCTTGAAACATTGGGAGTAAAGAGGATTCTTCTGGTTGAGAGATTCTCCTGCCCAGAATACCGAAGAAGAAAGTCGTGAATAATTACGACCGATGTATCTAGATTAGCCGCTGGCGGCCATCATATTGTTAGCTGCCAAATACATAACTCAAAGTCATTTCCGGTGAATTGAATTCCCATTTCATAGCAAGAAGATGTGAAATGCCCCTGCGAGAATCAGCTCATACACGAAAAGGTGCATTCCTCATTGGGAAGGTAGCTAGAAGATGGTGTCAGAGCGTCTTCGGTCCTTCAATCGTTTAGCTGTCCTTTTTCAACATCAACACCAACGTCTTTTCCATTTCCATCATGGTTTCAATTGAAACCGCATGATTGACGTTGCATGTCTATTTTCTGGGACGGCATAGATGGTAATACCCGAGACATGCAATCAGCCACCCCAATTGTTTGCGCATGTAACCCTGCACATCGCCATCCAGGGTTGCACAGACTCGCTCGGGAACCATCTATCATCATGCATACATACATACCTCACTACCTACAACAATCCGCTAACTGGCATACTTCATAGTTTTCGAAGATTTCCAATTGATCTGGCTTCTTACGATAAAACCCCTGCGAATACATCAATTAGAGTTTCGGCGATACGGACTTCTTCCTCCAATCCTTCGATTGTGCCGCTGACAACAAAAATTCTTCCCCTCGTCTCTAAGTGTGTCGCGGATAGGTATATACAAGACGGCTCGGTGGGTAGCATTCAGTAGGCAATTGTTTCAGCTATATCACTCTCGAGTTTCCTTGCAGAAATACTACAAGGCTTCCTCGAATGCCAATTACAGAATTCGGAATTTAGTCTGGTCCTACCCTACGGCCTGCGAAGCACCATGCTTCATGTTCTAGCAGCAATACCTTAGAGCAACCACCAACCTTCATTACATGGCTAAATGATCACTTTCCTAATTTACTCTCAATTTACCAGCGCTTCAGCATCACGCCCACTTTCCCAATGTCTTCAAGATTGATGCAAAATACCAGTCCTGTGGCTCCATCATATCTGCAAATATCTACATGGGCCTCTTAATAAGAAGTCACAGCAAAGCTTTGGCTTGATCTGAGGATCAGACTTGGTCATGAAACCTTGAAATCAACTATCTACCGCAGAAAGCGTACTTCATGAAGTTCGAAAACTAGATTGGTACCGACACTCTATCGGCGTAGAAACCTAAAGGTTCTCATTGTCACTAATATCATCAAAGTCCCATGTCGTTTTGAGGTCCATCCGAAGCTCCACGAGACAATAAAGCAATTCCGGAAATCTCCGATCTTCTGCTAAACATTCCACGTGGTAACAGACAACGATCGTGTCATAATACCATACGCCCCCCACCCCTCTTCTTCCCCTCTTGGCTGGACGAGAGTTTTGGTTTTATTTGAATGACTGTCTGACAGCGCACGATTGTGGATAATGGTACTTTCAGGAATTTGTACTCCTGTGGCCAGCCGATGCCACCCGAGGAACACTTTGTACCTGGCGCTTTATATACCATGGCAATGAATCATAGCTGGACGAGGTCATTCTTTAACACGCGGTAATTTTTCATGACATAGAAGCTCTGGGTTATATACAATCCAGCGCCTATGATCTGGAAAGCAGTTTGGTCCAGCGAACTCATTAGTAGAACCACAGATCGACTTCATCAAGTGAATAACACTGAAGTCTCAGAGCGTCCTCCTCCTCATCACATAGTAAGTTGAGATTCTTCCTCTTATTCCTGCACTTGGAGAAGCGACCCCAGCCTGATTATCTCGCACTGGCCAGCCTTGTTCTGACAAAGTCAAGTAGATCGCTGCTTTGGGCCTGTCTATTAAAAGTTTTCGTATGTCTTGAGCCATCATAGTTTATGACGGAAATTGACAACTAGCTTGTTCATAGATGATGATGAAGATCGCAGGGAAGCATGATAAATTGGACGCTTTCTCAGAAATCGGTCGCGACATACGTACTGGGTGTACGTCTCTTGCGTTCTAGTAACTATCAGCAGCGAGTTTGGTTTCTGATTCGTGGTTTGATGACACTGTTGGCGCGAGAATGATTATAAAACCACGAATCCTAAGACCTCATGAGATTCGGTCTTTGGCAAGCGCCATATCTCCCCTGTCATTCAAAAGCTTTTCGTTAACGGTTCTATCAAGTGCTTCTCGGTGTGCGCTGCTCCTTCACAGCACACAGGCCTTTTCATCTTGACTAGAATATTGTAACTTTGACCATGTGAACCTAAACTTGCAGTTGCAGAACGGAAAGATGAATCTTCTCGTGCTTCTCCAAGAATCTTTTACATTTCACATCGAAAGCCGCATAGAAGTAATCAAGAAGGTCTTCAGAGGATAAGATCTTAGATCCGAGTGGTTCTGAACTCAACAGCATTACATCTCTCGTTTGCTGTTTAAAGGTGTTGTATCCCATGCGTTTCAGAAGCATACCAAAATTTGAGTTGAGATACTATTGCTATGTTAAGCTCAACTCGGCCTCAAATGATTCCATTTATAGCCACATAGACAGAAGACATGTAACAAAGGTTCTTGTGCTGATGATGATTCATGGCCTAGTGGCTCTTAAAGAGGTCTTGTTTCTTATACTATGTACGAGTTCGCATAGATTGACCTTTGTTGCCTTGGCAAAATATGTAGAGGCGCGCATATTTTTGGATCTTGTTCTTTTTTCGCCACAGAAGATCCTTTGGAGTCTAACCCCAATCAAATAGACATGCGACAAGATGATGGCCGTTTGGCTTTCAAGGATTAATATTTTCTTTTTGCAAAACCCCTGTTCACAACTTCAACCACACATGATTACCAAGAGGAAATTGGCTATTTTGAGCCTGTGGCCTAGAAATTCGGATCAAAGATTCACCAAGTGCCCATGTACAAGAAGCAGAAGAATTGAAACCTTGTAAAATCTAGTGTTTGAGCCTCTCTTGGTAGTAGTTGTGTGAATCAACGAGTTTTCGCTTCTAAAGACACTAGTTGTAAACCACAGCTATGATGACATCAAAGAGGTATGCGACACACATTCTGGACCACACAAAGTTATATATACACACGTGTGTATGTGTGGGTAAGAAAGGCGCAAGCATATACAGAAAGTTCTTCTGACCGACCACATACAATTATGACATGTAATCGCAGAATTCAATATCTTTAGAGAATTTCAAGCATGAGAGAGATATACTCCTCAAACAGCGGTTTAAACATGAAATTCATAGAGAACACGTGCATCAAAAGCTTCACTCTATAGGGTTATCATCTATGAAGATTGACTTGGACCATCTCAATTGGTCGGACCGGAATGCTCCTTCGCAGAGTAGAGGTTGAGGAAGACCTCGGCCGCCTCATGTGATAAATTTTAAAATTCACTCGAAGTATTTGCTGCTGGATCCTTGGCAGTAACGAAAAAGATGTGCTAAGCCCTAGTTCAGTCAATTCTTAAAGTGCTTACACCTGAGTTGATTTCGGCCTTGGCTACTTCTTTTCTCGGCCTTTACAACTACCTCCAGATGAAATAACTCAGTACTTTCAACACGCTACTTCCTTTTCTGAACTTTCCCGTCTTCTTCTATCATAGATAGAGCTTCCTAAAAGCAAATTGCCTTACTTCTTCCCCTTTTCCTGTACAGATTTTATTGCGTTTTGATTGCTGTGGTCACATCCTCAAATTCGCAACCCAAGATCGCAAAATACAAACCAGAAACCTCAACATACCTTTTTGTATTCAAACAATAGACCCGTTGATTTACAGGTTCAACCCAATAGATCAATAATTCTATCACATCGTCTGTACGTATATCAATGCTCCTCACGTTATTAATTTTGGTATGTCTGCCATGGCATCACATTGCGCTCCTTGTCAATGGTATCAACAAACATCAAACTTGTAAACTCTTGAATCATCTTCTTTTGGGATAAATTAATCAAAGCAGTGTGTGCGTTTGCTGCAGAGTACCAGTTTATGTTTCTAGCAACTTTTTCTCCACAAGTATCCTTGGTCATCAACTTACAATTACATAGGTCTTCAAGTGATCTTTCAAAATCCTTGGAAGTAAGGTAAGCTATCTAATTTCTCATCGTTGTCCCTGCAGCTTGCCCCTGTTTTTAACAGAAGAATTGTGGTCTGTGGCTTACCGCAAACAAGTGCAGCTATCCGCAGGCTTCCAACCTTATTTGGAAGAGCAAACGGAGAAGTTTCATCAGAAGCTTTCATCAAAGCTCTAGAAGAATCCTTATTAGAGGTCTGTTCCAAGAATCATTCTTTATCCTTGTTATTATTCTTAAGGGTGTTGACTAATTCGATTAATCATTTTCCAGGATCTCCCGCAATCTCAATTCAATACTTTGCGAATATACACCGTTCGTACCTTTAGTTTTCAAATTCTCTTCATAACCTGATATCTCTATCTCTATCAAATATTCAACATGTCAACTCAAGTCAAAATATGTTCTAAAACCAAACTTTCCAACTCTCCTGAGTCTTCTCACGAGAGTTGTGACGCAGTTGATGCGATCGATACAAAAATGATTTCACCGCTAACCTCGATCGATAATGATAGTACCCGTAGTCTTACTCCAGACAAGATGGATCCTTTTCATTCAGCTCGCGAGCGTGAAGAACGTATCCGTAGAAACGGAACAGTGCCCACCCAAATCCCTATTCAGAACATGGGTATGAACAACATGAGCAATATGAACAACATGAACAACAACGGCAACATGAACGGCAACAGCAACAGCAACAGCAACAGCAACATGAACGGCAACGGCAACGGTTGGCGCCGCCCATCTGTCTCCGACCCGTCTTACACAGGTCCAGAAGGCTTTACTCCGCTGACTATGGTTCGCCCTGGTCCTGTCTATCCTCTTCCTGAACAAATCAGCTCTGCATTTGCTTATGGCATTCGCCGAGCTGATGGCTCTTACACGAGACTTCTTCCAGCTGATGAGCTTCCCGCTCTTAATGGCATTCCTCGTCACCAGGGTCCAGAAGGACTCATCATTGTCCCAGAACTTCAGCATGGCTCACCAAAGCCAGAGTTTGCCACTCCTATGATTCCGAATAAGGTACGTTGAGAGCATTTTGTTTTCAAGTGATATGCTGACATAAGTTGTTTTAAGGTCGTAGCAAAGCTTCCACCGCTTGGCCCACCAATGTTTGGACTCAATCAGCAAGGTGGTTTCCGTCGACAAGGAGATCAAACTCAGGTAGGAGAATATCTTCCTCCCAGATATACCATTAATGGAAAATATATACTGACTTCCCTTTCAAGTTGGCGATTGACTCTATCGTTGCCTCCGCTGTTAACCCCCCTGCGAGTGTTCCTCCAGCAAACAATGTCATGATTCCAATGGGTGGTCCATTTCGCAGAGAAAAGATCTACTGCGATAAGTGGGTTCATGAAGGCACTTGCGCTTTCACTCAAGTTGGATGTAAATACAAGCACGAAATGCCGATGGATAAGGCCACGCAAGTCTCTCTTGGTCTTAACCATGGAGTTCCAAACTGGTATCGTCGTCAACATGGTCTTTCTGTCTCTCCACAGACTGGAACAAATGTTCAAATTGAAGCACCTTGTGCAACTCCAACTCCAACTGGTGGAACATCCCGTACGTCTCAATCTTGGCGTCGCAAAGAAGGCACGTCTTTCTCCCTCCCGACCTCAGCTCAAGGTGTTGCAAATGGTCGTGGTATGTTTCTTTTAACATCTCATACTGTTCATGATCAGCAGGAACTAATCTTATCATTGCAGATCGTCGTAGCTCTGGTGGCTCATTCGGTCCCATCGGTCCTCCTCACACACGTCGTCTCACAAACTCGTCCTCTGGTGACTCGATGAACAGAAATCATCTTTCTGTCCCAGAGAATGGCAATGAGCATGATAACGACACCAATATGCAGTGGACTGGTAGAGCTCGTGGCTATACTAACGGCAACGATCAAAACCGTCGCCAACAATAAGTTGACTTGCCAAAACTTACTCCCCAACGATATAGATATCTATCTCAGCATCTTCCGCTCAAAATTCCTACTTCTATATCTCAATTTCCTCGACATCGATTCTTTAGGCTATACCTCTTTCTCACTAAATACGATTTGGTTGATCATGGTTTCAAATTCAGGTCAATGGCTTCACCAACTAGATGAAGTGCTGATTGTGATACATGGACTCGGAGACCTGGGATGAACAAAACTTCTTACTTGCTACTATATCTGGGGTTATAACGTTTGGTTTCACTTTTCTTTGTGGTATTTTCATTTTCTTTGGCTATACCAAATTGCTTAGTCTTTCATCATAACAGCATGGTCTGCATATTCGTTTCTACATCCGGGTTTTGCATTTACACAAATGGCTATGAAGACATTATATGCCCTGGTGGTGTGTAATTAAATGATTGAATGAATGGGATGGATGATATGGAAATTATGATGATGACGATTGGGAAGGATTTCTTATGGTAAACATATCAGATAAGGGTCATGAAAAGCGTCTATAAATCAATGATGATGGATGATATGGGTCGACAACAACAACATTTTGGGCACGCAGCTTATTCTGCACCGGATGCCTACTGGATAGTACCCTAGTTTTCTTTGCAATTACCTGCTTTACATTGATGAATGTGATCTTTGCTCCCTGTGAGATATTTCTGGCCGTGTGATGTGGTATGAGAATCCGTTATAAGAGACCTTAAAGCCGTGCAAGCTGTCCTCTTTTTCTGTTAGGTCTGTTGTTCTGAAGTTTCTCAGTTTAGATGTACCCATTCAAACTAATGTTGCTTGAACCCATGCCCATTAAAGATGAGGACCCGAATAAAGGCTAGAGTGTGTGTTGGATATTGATTGAACAATACAATTTATGGGCTTTGGGTAGTGTGCGGAAAATCTGAAGGTTGGTTTGGCTAGCAAGGACTGCGAGTTTAGGAAAATTTCGATGGGGTTCTCTTGATTTCTCGGTCATTGATGAGAAGGGATGTGGTCAAATGGTTCCTCTAAGCATTGTGTTGATGAAACTCTAAAATTTCCATGCTTTCCTTCAGAGATTGAGTTCAATACATAGGGCAAGTGATGAGTCAAGTTCAAAGTATGTTTATTATCTTGCATATCATTCATAATGTGGTAGTGACAGTATAACTTAAAAGAAAAACGCCAAATGAACTCCAATGTCAAATCTCCATGACTAATTTTCCACACTGCAACAGCAAGCAAATTTCCATCTCACATTTTCCCTAGCCTCTTCACCCATGGTCCCCTGTTAGTCCACTCTTCCTCCCCATCTGCTATTTCTCCAACCATCCTATGACCGCTCGTCCCCTTCTCGCCCCTCTTAAAGATAACAATCGCCGTATTGGGATTTTGACATAACCCCTGAAGCGAAAGACATTTATTAGTAGAACAACAAGTTCTCATGCATGCGGAACCGATGCCGCAATCAGAGTCAATGGTGCAGGAGGAGAGGGCTGCGCAGGGTGCATCGGCCATACAATAGCCAGTACCGCTTACTGTTGGTTCTATGATAGAGACGTGTTAGTGGTTTATATGATGGGAAATCTCATAGGGAATAAGAGGGAGACATACGACATAAGCAGGTGTTGTCTGAAGAACAATATTGATTTTGGCGGCAAGCGGATGGGGTGTTACACGTGGCGATAAGGGGAGAGACAGGAGGTCGAGGGATAGGAGATGAGGATGAGGTGGGGAGAGAAGTAGAGGTGAGAGAGCTGTTTGTGACCAGCTGAGATGTGATCGTGGAGAATGTGGATGAAAGGGATGTCAAAGAGGTTGTTGAAGATAATGGTGCTGATGCTAAACTGGAAGAGGTATTCGAATGGGAAATTGTAGATGAAGTGGTGGGAGCCAGTGAAGATACAGATAGAGAGATCGAGATCGTCCCCGTGATCAAATTCGAAGAGGATATTGAGAAACCCGTGCTAGTTGATGATGAAGGTGTAGTATAGGATGCATTCAAACTGGAAACTAAAGAATTTGAAGATGAAATGGTCGAAAATGTTGGCGGTGATACAAAGGAAGAGGAAAGGAAGCTTCCTATGCCCGAGGTAAGAGAGTGTGATGAGGAAGTCGTTGATGTACTCCTGGACGAAGCCGAGTCTGAACCAAATGTATTAGAGAGTGAATTCAGGGTGACTGTCTCCTGCGAAGAAGGTCCCGATGATAGACTGCCAGTAATAGATGTAAGAGTGGATGAATCACCACTAAGAGTAATTCTAGTAGTAGATGTCGACACATCAGTAGGTAGAATGGTAGTGGCTGATAGAGTGGAGGATAAATTGATCAATGTTCCGGATGATTGGGCGGAAGAAAGTGTTTCGAATGACGAGCTACTAGATGAAAGGGATGAGGCAATAACTGAGCAAGTTAGCGCAATAATGAATTGGCAGATAAGAATGCATACCATTCACAGAAGTTGATTCAGCCCCTACAGTTGAGCTCGAGCTCAAGCTATTGCTAGATGTTGGTCCCTGAACATCAATGGAAGAAATCACACTGCTAGTTTCCACAACATTCGAACTGGGTGCAAAGGTCGAACCTTCAAGCGAAGTTCTTGGTAAGTTCACAGTAGTGTACTCCGTTATATACGAAGTAGAAGCTGTGATGGTGATGGTAGCTATCACCACGCTTAAGTGACTTCGACATGCTTCAACATATGCATTATGATTCGGACAAGCACTTGTCGCATATGGCGGAATGGTTTCTGTAGTCGTGCTTGTGATTGCTTCCAGCGTGGTTGTGAGTGTAATGGCGTCTCCAGTGACAGTGACTATAACAACGCCTCGTGGTTTCACGTCTCTGGCGGTCACGTATACTATATTTGTGCTGGCTTCCGTATAGGTGATTTCGTTAAGAGTCACTGTAGTGATTGTGACCAAACTTGTTTAATCATTAGTATTGGATATACTCAATTGAATGATGAATTGGAGGTACCCAGAAGCTATGTATGACGGAGTAACAGTAGTTCGTATGTAATTAGAGCAATCCAATTCTCGTACATCTCTTGCGACATGATCATGAAAGCCACCAACTATATAGCCACAGGCATCGGAGTCCTGCCACCGATGTGCATCTGATAAACCAAGGAGGAAGAGGACAGTCAAAAACTTCATAGTAGGGACGTTGGTGAAAGTAGTTTGGCAATTTAGATGGATACTCTTTAGCAACACTTGAGAAACATCACATATATAGCAAAAGGATTGAGAATTGATGGACTACTTATTCACAGATATAGGCTTAGTCGCGTTGCTCCAGATATTCAGTCCGTGGCATGGTATGCGTCTTGGAAATTATGTCGCTCTAACGTTTATGACGATCGTTGCGGAATAATGTAGACGTGGATACGTGAAGAATGCTGTAGTAGGCGCAACGATCATTGTAATATTGGATTTCTGGGCAATATTGAATATTTCGGTCACTTATACAAAACCGGAGAATTGCTAGAACACGATGTCTAAAATCTCAAATTTATCATATGATGGAAAGAAAGAGGAGGCATTGTTTCGACACTGATCGAGATACTGCCAATGTTTCGTCGTATCGTAATCTGAAATACGGAAAATTCTCTAAAATTAAAAAACTCGAAAACTAACGATGGGTATTTAACTTGATGATTAAAGAAAGAAAAATAGTCTATACATAGAGACCCCTGATTGCCCCCATGGACAGGTAAATTCGCTGTCTAATTGACGCCTTCCAATGCACGGTCTTCTGTTCCCCTACTCCATTACCCCCGTTTAAATGCTGCTTAGGAACAAAGTTCCCGAACTTGTGTAGGCATGTTATCGTCAAGGTCGTTACAAATCGTCCGTAATCCACCAAATGTAAAGATGTGGTTTAGTACCCTCCATAGAAGGTATAATACATCGCTATGTACACTCTGCACGCAGGGAAGGCGGTGGCGGTTCAAACGAATCTTCCCCTCTTTCCACCCCCACCGAAAGAATCATCTCCATGCCCTAAATTTCCCAAATCAAAGAAATCCCCAAAATTTATTTTCCTCTTTTGACCAGCTCCTCTGTTTATCTGTGTCGTCGAAGATCTAGAGTTTAATCGAGACGAATGATTGCTGTGTCTTGCGTTGGTTCGTGAAGGCCGAGTAAGGGAAATACCCGCTGACTGATTACCGAAATTATCATGGGGTTGAGGGCGATTCTTATCTGATAAATCTAAATCTGACAATAAAATATCGGGATCTTGTGGATATTGCTGCGAAGATCGGAAAGTGAATGTGCCTTGTGGAAGCGCTGTAATCGTTGGAGGTTCTGGGTCGGGCAGAACAACGGCCGCAGGTGGAGGCACTACTTCTGCGCTCATTGGAGAAGCGGTTCTTGTTGGTTTAGAAGTTGATGCCGAAATATGACTTGAACTTTGCGATCTTTGGATAACTGGTGATGATCCCCTATCTCCTTTTTCAAGAACCTCGTCATCGCTGTCGTTGTGTGATGCTGTGTCCCGACCATCTAATCTCTCGGTCGCCCATCTTCGGATCCTCCAACCCTCGCCATCGCTCAACCCAATGTCTTCTTTATCGAGGAAACTTAAGAGTTCATCCAGTGCATCTTGATAACCTTCAGCCCTAGCTCTTCCCTGGTCTGCAGCGGCAGTTTTGTAGAGATTGGTGACAGATAAAGCGGCAGCTTTGAATTGTGCGATAAGAACTTGTTGCGGAGGGTCGCTGTTCAATTGTTTTGAGGGTGATTTGCCCCCTGGAAGAGAGGTATTCAAAGATCTCATGGAGTCCATAATTGTTGTTGAAAATGAGTTTGTACTGAGTTCTGTAACAAAGGTGGAAATTAGTCAGATGATGGGTTCCACGGGTAGACGCAGGATTATAGAATGTAATGACCCTTAATTTTAGCCTAGCAACGTACCTTTTCGGGGTGAAGGAATCGCAGAAATCCGATCAACTGAAATAACCTCAAACAACTCTCGTATTCAAGTTCAATAAAGAAGAAGAACTTGGAATTTTAAATATGACTCCTTAATGAGGATTCGAACAGTTTCTGTGCTGTGGAGTGGAAGAGGTTCTGGTTGATTTTTGAAGAGACAAAGAGCAATGACTTTTTCTCGACCCGTGCTCTGTGAACCACGGCGTGGTAGTTAATCCGTATTCCGTGATCAGTACCGCGTTCATTCACGCCTGTGCTGTAGATTCTATTCAATGAACGCGAAATTCCACTTCAGGTCAATTTCTTAATTTCTGCATCTCAATCTCAACCTCAATCAACAAACAGTATTGCTCTTTTGATTTCAAGAACCTATTCATCATCAAAACTCTTTATACCTTTCCATCTCGTGAAGCACTTCTCCTCGTCGGCGCATAAGTGATACACTTCTTACTATCAAGTGCCCTAGAAAGGGTTGAAGTTATATCAAGATGGCGCCAACACGTTCTTCACGCAATAGTAACGTCGATACAGATATGTCCATGGCAGACGTCTCTGAAGTTAAAGAGCAACATGCTGACCCTATGGTATGTTTCGTTCTAGTTTACAATACATTTTCTCTAGAAGTTGTCAAGGCTTTATTTCTACGTACATTGACCTAAAGTGATGATGTATTAACTGGCGCATTAGGATGTCGATGAAACCCCAGACTTTACAGAAGATTCTGATACCAATCCAAATACAACAGAGAGTAGCGTTCATGGTGATGCAGGATATGGACGTAAACGAAGATCAGAAGCTACTCAATTGCGTCGGAGCGTTTTTGGCAAAAAACATGATCGTCTTGGTGAATCGAAGGTATTTTAACCGGCTTTTACTGATCTTCTAGAGTAGCAGCTGATTGATCCTCTCTATTATAGGAAGACGACTCCATTCGACGTTTCCGATATCTTCTTGGCTTGACAGATTTATTTAGACATTTCATCGAAACAAACCCAAATCCCCGAATCCAGGAAATTATGCACGAGATTGATCGCCAGAATGAAGAGGCTGAACAAAAGAAGAAGAGTGCGGATAGAAAGGGAGGTGCAGCCAATGAAAGACGCCGCAGAACAGAAGCAGAAGAAGATGCGGAGCTCTTAAAAGACGAAAAGGCTGGAGGGTCTGCGGAGACTGTATTCCGCGAATCGCCAGGCTTCATTCAAGGACAAATGAGAGATTATCAAGTCGCCGGTTTGAATTGGCTGGTTTCTCTCCATGAGAATGGTATTTCGGGAATCCTTGCAGATGAGATGGGTCTCGGAAAGACTTTACAGACAATCTCTTTTTTAGGTTATTTGAGGCATATTATGGATATTACTGGTCCTCATCTCATTGTTGTCCCGAAATCTACACTTGATAATTGGAAGAGAGAGTTTATAAGATGGACGCCAGAGGTCAATGTTTTGGTACTCCAAGGAGCCAAGGAGGAACGTAATAATTTGATCAACGAGCGACTTATCGACGAAAAGTTCGATGTTTGTATCACAAGTTACGAAATGATTCTCCGAGAGAAATCTCACTTGAAGAAATTTGCGTGGGAATACATCATTATTGATGAGGTAGGACTGTTTATTCCATGAAAATGATCCCTGGCTAACTAAACTAGGCCCATCGTATCAAAAACGAAGAGTCCTCCCTTGCTCAAGTTATTCGTTTATTTAATTCAAGAAATCGACTTTTGATCACTGGTACACCATTGCAAAACAATTTGCATGAGCTTTGGGCCCTTCTCAACTTTTTGCTTCCAGATGTTTTCGGTGATGCTGAGGCATTTGATCAATGGTTTTCTGGCCAACAAGAAGATCAAGATACCGTTGTCCAGCAATTACATCGCGTATTGCGCCCCTTTTTACTTCGTCGTGTCAAGGCGGATGTCGAAAAGAGTTTATTGCCCAAAAAGGAGGTTAATTTGTACATTGGAATGTCCGACATGCAAGTCAAGTGGTACAAAAAGATTCTTGAGAAGGATATCGACGCAGTCAATGGTGCGGGTGGAAAACGTGAATCCAAGACACGACTTTTGAACATTGTCATGCAACTTCGAAAATGTTGCAACCATCCATATCTCTTTGAGGGTGCTGAACCCGGACCACCTTACACTACCGATGAGCATTTGGTCTTCAACGCTGGAAAGATGGTCATGTTGGACAAACTTCTTACTCGTATGAAGAAAGCTGGAAGCCGAGTCTTGATCTTCTCTCAGATGAGCAGACTTTTAGACATCCTTGAGGATTACTGTGTTTTCCGTGAATACAAGTATTGTCGAATTGATGGTGGTACAGCACACGAGGATCGAATCCAGGCTATTGATGATTACAACAAGCCAGGCAGCGAAAAATTCGTCTTCCTTTTAACTACCAGAGCTGGTGGTCTTGGTATCAATTTGACCAGTGCTGATATTGTTGTCCTCTACGACAGCGATTGGAATCCTCAAGCCGATTTGCAGGCTATGGATCGAGCACATCGTATTGGACAAACAAAACAAGTTGTTGTTTATCGATTCGTCACTGAGAACGCCATTGAAGAAAAGGTTCTAGAACGTGCTGCACAGAAACTACGTCTAGATCAACTCGTTATTCAACAAGGTCGTGCTCAGATTGCTGCTAAGGCAGCTGCTAATAAGGATGATCTGTTGAACATGATCCAGCATGGAGCCGAAAAGGTTTTCGCGACTACTGGACCAACAGGTACTCTTGCAGAAAAGGGTGCAGACCTTGACGATGATGACATTGATGAAATTTTGAAGCATGGTGAAAAGCGTACCGCAGAGCTCAATGCCCGTTACGAGAAACTTGGTATCGACGACCTTCAGAACTTCACATCAGAATCCGCTTATCAATGGGATGGTAAAGATTTCAGTAATCAAAAGAAAGACATTGGTATGACTTGGATTAATCCGGCCAAGCGTGAACGCAAGGAACAATCTTATTCCATGGACAAATACTACAAGCAAGCTTTGTCTACTGGCGGTCGTGTTGCCGATCCAAAACCTAAAGCACCCAAAGCGCCTAAGCAAGTCACAGTTCATGACTATCAATTCTTTCCACCAACTCTACGAGATTTACAAGACCGTGAGACTGCGTTTCATCGTAAAGAAATCGGTTACAAAGTTCCTCTAGCAGATGGTACAGATGAAGATCTCTCGGATCGTGAGGCTGAACGTAACTTGGAGCAGTTGGAGATTGACAATGCTACTCCTCTTACCGAAGAAGAGCAAGAAGAGAAGCAACTCCTATCTCAACAAGGTTTCGCTGACTGGAATCGTCGAGATTTTCAACAATTTATTAACGGTTCCGCAAAATATGGCCGTAAAGATTACAATATGATTGCTGAAGAAGTGGACAGTAAGGGGCCGGAGGATATCAAAGCCTACGCTAAGATCTTCTGGCAACGGTATACCGAAATCGCTGATTATGCTAAACACATCGGTCAGATTGAAGCTGGTGAGGAGAAAACCAGAAAGATGGATCATCAAAGAAAAATGTTGCGCAAGAAAATGCAACAATACCGAGTACCATTACAACAACTCAAGATCAACTACTCAGTATCAACTACAAACAAGAAGGTCTATACTGAGGAAGAAGATCGTTTCTTGCTCGTTCTTCTAGACAAGTATGGAGTTGATAGTGATGGTATCCACGAAAAAATCCGGGATGATATTCGTGAGAGTCCTCTTTTCCGATTTGACTGGTTCTTCTTGAGCAGAACTCCTATTGAGATTAGCAGAAGATGTACAACACTTTTGACAACGGTTGCTAGAGAATTTGACGAGCCGGCTGCAGCTAAACCTGCAAATGGTACTGCAAATGGCAAAGCCAAGAGAGAACCTGAAGATGATGAAAATGATGAGGATAGCGTTTTGGGAATGGCTCCTGCCAAAAAGAAGTCAAAGAATGGTGTTAAGGTATGGTCATTTATTTACCGCAGCAAACTTGTACATGATTACTAACTATTCTTTCAGAACAAAGCACTGGATAATGTCAAGTCTACTGCTGGGAGTAAAGCAGCTTCAACAACTCCCTCTTCAAGAGCTTCAAGCGTTGCTTCAAATGCTTCAAGTCCAGCACCAGCTTCGTCTTCGAAGAGCAAGTCTAAGGGTAGAAAGAGATGAGGATGTAGATGAGGATGAATAAATCGAGTCAAAATAGCTCGGTGTGTTACTATTACGAAAAGGAACTTGCCATGTGTATTCATTCAGAAGGCATGGCTTTGGGTAGGGCGTTACGAGGATTAATTGCTATGCGCTTCGTCATCATAGAGGTCAAGAATGCGTAGTTTTAGATGGATATGTTTACATCATGATATGTAGATAACTTGTGAATGATTGTATTCCACAAGAATTACAAAATATACTGTTATTAAAATACCACAGTTTTTATCTTTCTCTTTATAACGACTTAAAGACTGTCTGGAGGTGACTTCCATCGATCCGCTAGCTGGCATACTTTTTGTCCCTCGATCATCTTAAACATACTAGGTAATGTCAAGAGTTAGGTCAGAGTCCTATTATCACCTTCAAATACCTAAAAACTCCAATATGCAATACAGATTGACACACACACAATCCGGAACCGAGCACCAAAAAATTAGTGCACACCTCTAATCTCTAGCATTCATCGCACGTGATGCAAAAATTTAGCAGCACCCCACCATTCATCCCACCAACGACGAGCGATCTTTTTCTTGAGCTTTTATGAGAGTGTTGATCAATATTTACGTATCTTCTCTAGTAATTCGAGGTTGTCAATATAGAGTTTCGATACGTGAGTGCTCTTCTCTTCTCTCCAGAAATTGTAACTGACCCTCACGATTTATTAGCAACCTTTGATCTAAAATTCCAGTCAGCTTTTGACTAGCACAGCACAAATTAAAAAGATCAAACATAGGTACATAGGTACTTGAAGGTTGAAAGAGATTTGAATGAGGAAAGTTCCTAGTATTTGTAAATAATTTACATTCAAACCCTCAAGTTTCCACAGAAGAAAAAGAAAAATGTCACCCCTTTCCAAATTCGACGGCTTAGAACTCCCTGCAGCGGCAGATTTTCACGTACATCTACGAGATGGAAAGATGATGGAGACAGTTGTTCCAACCATTAAGTTGGGAGGAGTGGATACCGTAAGTGGTTTTCTATATAGAAAGAGTTTTGTTCCATCCAGATTTCGAAAGTTCTCTTCTTGATCACCAAGTCTAGATTATTTGAATTTTTTCTCTGATTTGCTAATCTATCATACAATAGGTCTATGTGATGCCCAATCTCGTTCCACCCGTTACTACAGTAGCTGCAGCCCTGGCCTATAAAGAACGTCTTCTTGCCATCGAGCCAAATGTCAATTATCTCATGACTCTTTATTTACACGAGAGTATCACCCCTGAAACTGTTCGAGAGGCTAAGAAGGCGGGAATTGTGGGAATTAAAAGTTATCCAGCTGGTTCGTGTTTTTCATCTAAAGTTGTAGTCATCCGGACTGCAGTACGATGATTAGAAGCTTTCAGTCTTTGAAGTAATACAATACTAAAAGAGTAGAGAGTTTCAAATACTCCTTTACCTTGGATAATGTATTTCTTTCAAGTATCGAGAACTTACAATCTGCTAGTCCCCCAGTCCGGACTAATCAATACTCTACTTCATCTATTTCCCTTTTCAAAAATCTACTTACATAGACGAAACTAACCAAACACAGGTGTAACTACCAATTCCTCCTCAGGCGTCATCTCCTACGAACCCTTCTACCCCGTCTTCGCCGCCATGGCTGAAGAAGGTCTCGTACTCAATCTCCACGGCGAATGTCCCTCGGACCACAAAAAAGACATCACCATCCTCAACGCCGAAGCTTCTTTCCTCCCCACCCTGCTCTCTCTCCACCGCCAATTCCCCACCCTCAAAATCGTCCTCGAACACTGCACCACCGCCGCCGCCATCCAAACCGTCAAACAATGCGGTCCCAACGTCGTCGGTACAATCACCGCTCACCACCTCTTCCTCACCATCGACCAATGGGCCGACGACGCTTTCCACTTCTGCAAACCGGTCGCGAAATTACCGAGCGATCGTACCGCGTTACTCGTCGCCGCAGTCGAGGATTCCGAAAAATTCTTCCTCGGCACCGATAGCGCACCCCACGATATCGGCGCCAAGAAGGGCGGAACGGGAAAGACGGCCGCGGGCGTATTCACGCAGGCGCATGCGGTGGGTCATGTGATTACGGCGTTGGAGAGGGGAGTGGAGATGGGGGTTTTGAAGGAGGAGGATGTGACGAGGGAGATTTTGGAGGGATTTTTGGGGAAGAGGGGAAGGAAGTTTTATGGGGTTGCGGAGGCGGGATCTGCAGAGGGACAGAGAATTGTGTTGAGGAATGGAGAGGAGACTGTGAGAGCGAGTTTCAAGGGGGAGGGGGTGGAGGTTGTGCCTTTTTGGAGGGGTCAGAAGATTTGGAGTGTGGAGTGGAAGTAGATTTTGGTGTATAAGTACAAGTATATATGAGAGAGAAATACACAACCCTTCAAGAAACACATGACCTTAATATTTCTTTCACCAACGAAATACTTCCTCTTCTCATTGGTTCAATAGAAATGCTCACTCAGTATAAGCTATACCATACCATATTGGAGAACCAGAAAACTCTGAAGAAAAAATAGAAATGGGTGCTCAGTATAATCATACCATACATATCATACATATCATACATATCATACATATCAAATCACAATACCACGACCCAGTTAACGACTCCTCAAGCATCTCAAGCATCTCAAGCATCTCAAGCATCTCAACTCCTCTCTCCTCTCCCCTCCCTTCCCCTCCCCTCCCCTCCCCTCCCCTCACAGAAAAGCGACAGGATAGAGATACCAAAGAAAAAAAAGCACAATCTCTTCAAGAATTGAGTTTATAAAATATAAAATATAAGTTTTATAAAACATGACATACAATATACAACATACAGCACACCAAGACACCAAGACACAATACACCAAAAAACAAATCTGGTATTCTCTTCAATACCATTCTCTTCAATTCTCTTCAATTCTCCCCATCCACCACCAACCCTCCCACCAACCCTTCTAACCACTAACCACTACCCAGATAATGCTATCTAACATCTAATTCATATTAATACTAGCATGGTCTCGCTATAATCTCCACTCCACTCCACTCCTCTCCTCTCCACTCCTCTCCTCCCCTCTCCTCTCCTCTCCTCTCCTATCCCTCCCCCAATTCCATTCCCAAGATTCCCATTCCAAACCTGCCAAACCCTATATACAAAAAAATCTCCCTCAAAAATTCCCAAAGGCTACGTAGCCTACCCTATTTATATCTACCTATCCAGCAACAGTCAGCCGCCGATATTCTATCTCTATCCATCTACTAACGCCATGTCCCTTGTCCCGATATATATCCTGATATCCTAATCTTCATAACTATATAGATTGTGTATATAGATTGTGTATGTATGTATATATGTGTGTATATATATACTTCCGTGGCATTTTTATTTGTATTTTTATGCTCTGGATTGGATGTTTGATGTTGATGTTGGTTTTGATGTTCATCGATGTATATGGATATCCATATGTTCTTCCCCTCTCACTCTATAATATGTATGATATTCCCCGTTCGATCCATCTATTATCCAATCATCCAGAGGAGGAGGAGGAAGAAGAAGAAGAAGAAAAAGAAAAAGAAGCAACCCCCACCAAGGAATCACAACCTAACCAAAACTAACCTAAACCACTTCTCCCGCCGTCTTCCTCCTCCCAAACCCGGGAATCGTCCTCTTCTTCCCACCCCGCTTCTCCTCCATCTCGACGGGCATAACGCCACTGGAATACGCCTTCTTACTGCCCATCCTCCTCCCACTCTTCACATCCCTCCGACTGGCCCCACAACAACACATACCCACATGAATCACCCACGCGATAATCACACAGGACGCACCGATCCACATAAACGCAAACATCTGGGTTCCCACACTCGCGCCAATATTCAAGCCCGCCTGACTCGTCACCGTATTGCGGAAAATGATAAACATAACCGTGGCGATGATTGCCGCCGTGGTGACGAGAAGCGCAGAGATGAACGTCCAGATGGCGTAGAAGCCTGAAATCCAACGCGAGTAGATAGTGAAGAAGGAGAGGAAAATGTTGCAGAAACTCATAACGACACCGGTGATGAAGAACCCGAACATGATGTGACTAGCGATGCGGATGAGACTGAGGATATTGTTGATTTCAGCGGGGAGGGCAATGGTTGCGCCGGCGAGAAGTTCATTGAGGAGGATATCAACGGGGTTGAACCAGTAGAGGTTTTGAGGGGAGGAGCAAGCGGTGATGCCTTCATCGTTGTAGCCTTCGCAGAAATTCCAGAGGCCGACTTGGTAGAAATCGTGGAGGCCGAGGGATCGGGCGAGAGAGTTTTGGAGTGTGATGCCACCGCCGACGGATTCGGGAATGATGTTGGTGAGATCGAGTCGGAAGAACCAGGTATCGCGGATGACGGCACGGTTGTTTATATTGCCGATGATTGTCTGAGATTTGTGTTAGTTTTAGAAGATGAGGGAGAAGATTGAGATGAGTTAAGATATGGGGGGGATGGTGATGGCAATAGCAATGGGTGACAGTCTAGAAAATCAAAACTTACCAGAATTAAAAAGATAACGGCGATCAGATACAAGAAACTGGTGATATAAATAGCTCTCTTCCTCGCCTTGGTAGCTCTCTTGATATCCACGCCCGCCGTCGAGACATGGTTTGAATTGTCACCGGGAGTTAATGTTCGATCAGAACTTTTGTCTGTGGTGCGACCTTCTGGGGCTATGGTTCCTGTTTGGTGAGCTGGGATTGCTTCTTGACGTTTTCGATTGGGAAAGAAACCCATGGTGAGATTGGGTGGTGAGGTGAGATGAGATGAGGTTATTGATTGCTGTTGGAATTGAACTGAGATGAGATGAGGGAATTGGTTTGATGACTATCTCTTTGGACTCTTTCACAAATCCTATCTATGCAGATAGATGGGTATCAAATGTGAGTGAGTGAAGGATGAGTAACAGACAAGGACGACGACAATGATGGAAGAGCGCAATCCAAAAAAATCCAATCAATAAACCAGCAAAAATCGATCCATCCAAAAATCAAAGACGGTAGAAGGATACTAGGATAGATATCAGATAATCATCCACTGATATTCTCCTCTCACTTCCTCTATGCAATTCTTCACCCAAAGCTTGATTCTACTTGACCAGTACCCAGTTTTCACCGACGTTAGTTTATTAGTAGAGAAGCGGCATGTACCAGTATGGTAGAGATGATAACAAAGATGATGAATAATAATACCGTCACTGGATATTTTCAATGCTCACAAATATAACTTGAAGAATAAAATCAAATAAAATCAAATAATAAGAATGGAAACAAATTAGATTTACCCTACGACCCATTCTTATCGACATCATCGAAACCATGGTACCTACACCTACTATCCACACACAGGGGGGCTTGGACACTTTGATGCATGGATTGACATTTTAGTAAAAGAGGGTCCTAAAGTAATCTTGCGCGTCGAGAACTGGCTTTTTTTTCGTGTTGGAGCTTGGAGGAAGCTTGACAGTCAATCAATTCATCTTCTATTCTAGATCTGGATTCTGGAGTGATTTGAATGGCTTGACGCTTTGAAACTACCTAGGTGCTAGGTGATGGTCGGGTCGGGAGGTTGGATTTGTACAGCAAACACAAACAGATTTTTGACCGACGAGACGAGACGAGACGAGACTCAGGAAACAGGCGAGACAGGGAGATAGATGGTGAGAAGAGAGGAAAGAAAAAAAGAAGAAGAAGAAGAAGAAGAAGAAAACGCCACTGATGTAGTTGTACATAAGTATGTATGTAGTATTAGTATGTACCTACGAAAGTTTTAATCCATCTGGAGACCTTGACATTATTCAACCAAGGAAACTATTGAATTTCTCCAAGCAAAACTGTGAGAATCTAGAGGAGGACGGATCTCGAATTTGTTGATTGATTACCGGTACCTAGTATGTATGTATGTATGTATGTATGTATGGTACACTTTTCATAAAAGCTTGATTTTGTTGGTGTTGGTGTTGGTGGTGGTGGATACGCTGAATACGCAGTGAGAATTCTAGAATTCTAGAATTGGTAGGAAGAATAAGAATAATAGGAAGATCATCCCCCTGAACATCATGTTATCCAACGTCCAAGAGCTTGAGTAATGGTGGTTCGATAGGTAAGCTTGAGAATGTAACACCTACTCATCGATACGGTATTGAGCTTAGGTACATCGAGGCGCAGTTTTAGGGATGAGGAAGGCGGAAGGGGGGGGGGGGGGGAAGGGTTTCTCTCCGATGATACCGGTAGAGATCTATAGGTCATCGCTCATTGACAAGACAAGATTGTGAATACGAGAATTGGGATATTGGGGATACCGATACGGTACGGGTGTGTACTGTACTGTACTGTACTGGCTCGTCTGCTTCTCTTTTCTTTTTTTTCTTTGTTTGTTTGCTTGTAAAAGAATGCCACCGGTACACTTGGCGGTTAATTGACGGTTAAGTAAGGTTAGATGATCCTTGGTATAGATACTAGGTAGGTGACTGTGTAAGTTTACACTTTGTCTTGAGAGGAATTTCTTTTGATTTTTTCCAACTCAAAGCAGAAGAGTTTTTCTTCCCTTTTCAAACTTGAGTCACCTATGGAGTATGTATTGGTGGTAGGATAAGATGGTATGGTATGGTATGGTATGGTATGGTATGGTATCCTTACTAGATGATACATCCTCATCATCTAGACCCTTAATCAATCATGATTTACCCTCTGCCGATATTCTGCACCTCGTTATTTCAAGTGCTTTGTTTAGGCTTTGCTTAGGGAGGAAATGTCCGTAATCCTAGACTCGGATCTATGCAGGAAGATGAGGTTAGGTAGTTCCACATGGATCTCATCCTGGAATAGCCGTCTTGGCCGTGAGGGTAAAGAGGGGCGGGAATGAGGCTTGGACCATGGAATTGGGAGAGAAGGTGGGACTGGTGTTTTCAGAATAGAAGAGGTGAGAGGGTGTGAGAGGCCGATGACAAGAAGACGCAGAAAATTATGACGAGCTTTTGTGAAACTCTATTTGATACAATTGTAAGACATTTGGATGATGTGGTGATGTGGTGATGTGGTGAAGGGACTGAAAGGTTAGAGTTCAATTGTTATATTTGGAGATTCAATGTTTGTGTGTGATTTTTTGCATTAGTTTGGCTGGCTGTCACATAAGGATACTGTACTGTACTGTATTGTACACGATACTGTTTAAAGCTGTCAATCCTTTTACTTTTCTTCGTGCGTAAGCCCAAGTATGATGACAGGATGAATGATTGATTGAATGGGTGGATGACAGAATGAATGATTGATCAATTGAATAGATGGATAGAAGAATGGCTTGTACCCGTTCGCTTGGGACTACCCTTCCTCCCTCCCTCCCGCTATGATTCAGGGACAAGTCACAAATGGTACCATCGCACCAGTCAAGCAAGCACATGTAGATCTACAAACCAAAGGAAGATCGATATTTCCAAAGGAAAGACTATTTGGGGGGGATGAAAGCTAAGATGGTATATAGTTAGATTCCTCCTCTGGTCTACGGAATACTCCACCATCTAAATGCACTCGCCATCATCACCATCACCATCATCATCATCTAGAATCTATCTCAAATCGTATACCGGTACGCACAAGTAGAAGATTTGTCAATGAGTATATCTTCAAGAATGACAAGACTCTCAAGACTCTCAATTCTTCAAAGGGGGCTTGTTTTCCCTTGGTATATTCGCCGAGTATCCGAAGCTAAAATTGAATTGCGTATCCACTGTGGTGTCTGTGTCTTGAAACAGACTTTCTTCCAATGCGAGTGAGTCCCTCGAGTCCTTGAATCTTGAGTAAGTTAAGCCCCTCCTCCCTCGTCCCTCCTCCCTCCTCCCTCCTCCCTCCCTCAACTTTCAAGCCCCTCAAACCTCTCAAGCCTCTCGCATTTATTTCAATATCTGAAGTACCACTCCCGTTACCGCTGCCGTGTACGAAATGGAGGTGAAGAAAGAAAACGTACACGGCACACGAAAATAGAAAATAAAACAACTGAATAACGTCATTCATTGCCTTGCCTTGCCTTGCCTTGCCTTGCCTTGCCTTGTCTTCCTTGCCCTGCCTTGCCTTTGGAATAAACTTCATTTTTCCCTTCTTCAACCGTGCCACCGAGTTACTACCAACTAGATATTTATTTCATCTATTTAAGTACTTACTACTCCTATTTGGGAAATCTCTGCATTAGTATTCAATTTTTCATCAATCATTCCAAATTAGGTAGCATTCTGCCCTTTACACACCTTTTACTCCCTACAGAGGAATTCTTTTTCTGACGTCGACTTGTGAAATCCCAATCCCACCTTCACCATCCCAAATTCCTATCGCTATCTAAACTTTTTCCCCAAACTTCTCGAATTCGAGTTATACCTACCTCTTCCCCCAAAACCTTCTCCACTCGTTTACATCTTGTCTCTATCTTGAATACTTTCACAATCCTATCTACTGATCTGCCAAAGTGATTAGGCGTCGAAGAAATCACTGCAGAATCATAGTAGGAAAAATGTTGTTTTCTCGCCTCTTTTCAGTCACTTTACTGGCTGCGGGAGTGCATGCTCAAGCAACTTCAGAAAGTACTTCGAGTTCGAGTTCGACTTCAAGTTCAAGATCCATCACAGATTCCACTTCAACGGAAACTGATTTAACCACAATAACGGGGTCGGAATTAAGAACTCCTACAGGGTCTTACCTTTCTCTTTCTACTACAATTACACTTTCTACCTCTTCCTCCCCTGTATCGACTGAAGCGATAGTCTCGACTTCAACTGGTAGCACCACCACTCGCACCACGACTTTGGGATCGACTACCATCTATGCATTGGGCACAGAGACGTTGACCGGAAACGCAACAGAATCAACCAGTTCCGCCACACAGATTGTTCTAACGGGTGGAGGACGTCATACCACCACCACTGCCATCAATGGAACATCCAATTCAACAGCCACCTCCACTTCCAGCTCTGCCGTAGCAACCAACACCACTCCTTGCAACAACTATGTTGAATTCTGCGACCGCAGTTACGGAAATATCACCGAAGTATCCGCACACAATTCTCCATTTGTGAGAAGTGGTAGCGCGGCTGCAAATCAAGCATTGGATGTGACAACCCAACTCAACGATGGCATCAGATTATTACAGGCTCAAATTCAATGGAATGGAAGCATTCCACATTTCTGCCATACTTCCTGTGATATATTGGACGCTGGTCCTATCACAACTTATCTGAGTGAAGTTTACGATTGGGTACAAGCCCATCCCTTCGACGTCGTCACCATTCTCCTCGGCAATGGAAATTACTCCAAAGTCGACAAATACATTCCATTTATCGAAGAAACTGGTCTCCAAAACTACGCATACGTGCCCCCCAAGATTCCCATGGCGCTCGACGATTGGCCAACCCTCGCCAGCATGATTCTCAGCGGAAAGAGAGTCGTCTTCTTCATGGACTACGAAGCAAACCAAACCGCCTATCCATGGATTCTCGACGAATTCACACAAATGTGGGAAACTCCTTTTGATCCCACCAATCGCTCGTTCCCATGTACACCACAACGTCCACCCAATCTTCTCGATACTGATGCGAAATCGCACATCTACATGACAAATCATAATTTGAACTATGATATCAATCTCCTGGGCATCTCGCTGTTGGTCCCGTACCAGAATTTGCTGAATGAGACGAATAATGTCACGGGATATGGATCATTGGGAATGAATGTCGAGCAATGTGTGCAGGATTGGGGATTCCCACCAAAGTTCCTGAATGTAGATTTCTACAATGTGGGACAAGGAAGTGTTTTTGAAGTCGCCGCTGAGTGGAACAATGTCACATATAATCGGGAATGTTGTGGTACTTCGGCGACGAGTGATGCGGGAAGATTGGATGTACTGGGGAGAAGTACAGTCATGCTTATGATGGGTGTGCTAGGTTTCATGTACTTTGGATTGTGAGAAGAATTGGATTGAATGTGATCTCGGGATGGTGTGTATAGATGGTATAATGATTGTTGATATCAGTGGGGAATTTACTTTGATATTTGGATGGTTTGATGATGCTTTGCTTCACATTACTTTGCATGGAATGGCGTTTTGGATATATATCTATCGAGCTTGGAGACTTGGGTACTTGCATAGGAAATTATGAAATAGATTACTGGTACTAGGTAGATTGGATAGATGGACAGATGCATGGTGGATATATAAAAGATATAATCATTGGAATATTTTATTTTATAGTTTGAGTTAGAGTTTGAGTTTGAGTGTATTATTGATTTGTGTTTTGAAAACTGGTGATGTTGATGTTGATGTTGATATTAACAATCATTTCCCTCCTTATCACATTTCTTCTTCTTCTTCTTCTTCGAGATTCAGATATTCAGAGATTCAGATATTTATATACATGTATATACATATATATACATATATATACATATATATACATATATATAACAAATACCTACTCTTCATTACAGAGATCTGAATATTAGGTCTTGAAATTCGAAATTCGAAATTCAGAATTCTAGGTTTGGGGTTCGGATGCTGGAGATGGTGCTTGGAATTGGGTTTGGGGTTTGGAATTGGAATTGGGGATGGGGGATGGGAGATGGGAGATGGGAGATGGGAGATGGGAGATGGGAGATGGGAGATGGGAGATGGGAGATGGGAGATGGGAGATGGGAGATGGGAGATGGGAGATGGGAGATGGGATAAAGAATAGTTGGATGATTAGATGATTAGATGAGTAGATGAGATTGAATTAGATTAGTGTGTGTAGGAAATAGGGTATAGGGTATAGAAATAGAGGAAGGGGATAGAAGATGGAAGGGAAGGAATAGAGGAATAGAAGAATAGAAAAACAAAAGGCGGGAGAGAAGGGAAAGAGAATATTCATTGTTTATTATTTATATTTAGTAGATTTTCTTTTTATATCTTGAGATTTGAGATTTTGTAGATGATAGGAGAAGGAGAAGGAGAAGAACGAGTATAGATATAGATGTGAATATAGATATTAAAGAAAAGCTTGAGGAGAATGATATTGTATTGAAATATACTATAATATAATATGATTAATATCAAGTTTCCCCACTGATTGATTAATAGATAGATAGATAGCTTCACATAACACTACAGAAAAAAAACAAAACAAAACAAACTAATAACCTCCCCCCCACCCCAACCCTAAGAAGTTCTCCGTATATCTATATCTATATCTATATCCTATCTCATAGTCAAAAGGCTAAACAATAAACAATTCATCGGGGTTTGATATACTATGAAACCGAGTAAAATTTAGTGAAAATTTAGTGAAAATGAGTCAGTATATATCTAAAAGAAATAAATATAAATAAATAGTCCAACTCAATAACATCATACTATCTCTCTAGGTATTTCACTAACGAGATGTCGAATTGAACTGAATTGAATCGAAATAAATTTCTGTATTTCGAAAAGAGAAGAGTGTATGAGATCACTAGTAGGCACCTACGATGAACTTCTCTGTTATATATCTGTTTGTGTTGTGTTGTGTTGTATTATATTTCGTTTTGATATTTTTATGCTGATTTGATGTTTGATTTATGCTGGATGGTTTGGTATGTATTATAGAATAAGTATGTATGTGGTATTAAGAATGAGAACGAGAATGAGATATTGATAGAGTGAATATAATATAATAGAATGGAATACGATGGATTGAGACAGTAAGGTGATGATGCAAATGAAGTAATACAGGAAAGAAATAGCAATACACATCTCCCCCCCCCCCACTCCCGATTCGCTGCACAAAACCACCTTGCGAAACCCAGAAAATGCGAACAACACGATTCAGAAATCAAGAAAAGAATCTGCTCATTTCTATCACCCCTTTGATTTATAGTAATTATCTAATCGAGAAGATTACCTAGCTATGGATATACTAGAAAAGGAGTGTGGGATATAATCTAATCTTGATATCCAGTCCTTGATATAGATTAAAACTAAATAAGATATTTATATCCATGTTTATATCCATGTTTGTATTTATATCCTCCATACCACCAATCTCTACCAAACATCCCAGATTCCAATCACCTTGATTATCCATATACGTATCTTCTACAGATATACCGCAGGATATAAAGCACAGATGATGTTCAAGTTTGACGATTACTCATAGCTGTAAGCCAAATCATTCATTACAGTACAATATTTGAAAATCCATACAGTTCGTAGTACCTAGGTATTTAGAAGCAAGAACGGACTGGAATGAAGATATCCTTGGTATGTACGTTTGTGAAATCCTCATCATCTCATTCAGAAAACGATACAGACTCTCGACAGGTAGCTAAATTCTTGTTCTCAGCCGAGACTTGGGATTTAACGTTGATTCCTGATGTGAATAAATCGATTGATTTCGATAGATATATTATTTGAATTGGATATACGGCTTGGTCATGCTCTTGGCTTGTGTATGATTTCGTAGCAGGGCGAGAAAAGAATGGAGAGGAGAGGAAGAATGAATATGGCTGCAATCTTGGATTCGGTCAAGATAGACTGCAGTGATAGAAAACATACATAGTATGAGAGTCCAAAGACAAAGGGGGAAAGCAATTAATAGCTGGTTCCGGCCTTTTCATATGTAAGCAGTCTTCTATAAACAGCCACTGCGAAAATTGAGAAGAGATGATCATCAGAACACATGAAGATCTATGTGGTCTACTTGTTTGGAATATGAGAAGATATTGTTCGCTGGGACGAGAACATAGTAGTATTCTTTCATCGTGGTAGATACACTTTATGAACAGTGTGAGAGCTAGCACATCCAGCTTTAATTGGAAATCCAGATGGTGATATAGACCTGTCTTCTTATGAGACTAACGGGACGTGGAATTATAACCCAATTACAAGTCTCTTGAAAAAAATCGCTTGGATATATGGAACGTCGACAGGTAACACTGAATGGTTGCTTCCACTTGGAGCAAAGATTCAAGAATATCAACTTCATGAGCTGTAGAAGGATGTGAAAATAAAATCAGCAGTCAAAAGACGTAAAAGATTATGATTGATTCCGAAAATGAACTCCAAATATGGGTATCAACCTATCCTATCCTATCCTATCCTATCCAACTCCAAATACCAATTTCCCAAAGTATATCTTTTTTCCTCATAACCCCCTAATCACTTCCCATCCCCTTCCTACCCTTAACAACATTCACCGCATCTTCCACATCATCCTCCTCTCCCAACGTCTCTACCTTCCCCCCACTACTCTTCGTCAACTTATCATCCGTCGCATCAAAAGTTTTCTTGGCCTCATCAATAAACATTTTCTTCTCGAACACCTCTGTGATCTTTCCCAAAAATGCTGGATTCTTCCGACAAGCAAATTTAATATCATCGAGTTTAACTTTTTGTCGGCCAGCTATTTGGGCTGCGCGAGATGCTTCAAAACAGAGCTCGATGATGAAATCAGTTACTATTTCATCGAGAGTTTTGGTCGTAGTTTCAAGTGCATGATGGACGTCACCGTGAGCGTGGAGGAAAGATTTTACTGGATATGTTGGATTAGTTTGGGTGTTGATTGGTAGGAATAGAAGAGGAAGAACTGTAGGGAAAGATTGAAACGTACGTTCTGCTTCGGTGAAGTTTTGTTGACCACGGTTTTTGGCTGCGCGAGCTCTTGGTTCAGACATTTTTGAGGTAGTGTGAAATTTGGATTGGAATAGCTGATGTATGATGCGATGGATTGCGCACGTTTTGTAGAGGTTCAATACTAATAATAGTTATGTTCCCAGATTTGATCGTTAAGGTTCTGATAAATAGTTGTATTTTCAGTTAATTTCTGAATCCGTGAATCCGTGAGCACAAGTATCAAGCGTTATAAATTAGATGTATTGGCGCATTTCTTGAGATGGAACTGTCTCTCTGGGAGGAAATTGAATCTTTGATGTAAAGTAGAGTCGCAGAGCTTCCGCGAGCTATACTATGATTAAAAATTTATCCGTAACTCGGGATCATAGATAGTCCGGTTACCGATTGCCCAATCCATGCATGTGAATGGAAATGTGTTTGATAGATGGTATTTACAGATTCATATGTTGAGGAACACCCCAATCATCTAAAACTTTTCCTGTGATTTCGACTATTACCCTACAAAATGGTTTGTCAAACCCATAAACTTTAGTTGAGGACTCTGCATATGCGAATTCCTCTTGCGCAAAAGTATTAACAAGCTATCTAGTCAGCTCTCTTCAATTTCCAGTCAGCGCTGCTAGTGCTCCTTCTCCTCATATGCACGAGCGCATACGCACATCAATTGTTTCCCAATATTATGGATCGGAATAAGGAAGGGTACGATAGCATTTGTTTTCAAAAAAGCTGGGAATTATAATACTGATGGAAACTAGCACTTTTACCGGATTGTTCTGGAAATGTGCGAGGATAGGAGAGCGATTGAGTCCTTATATAAGTGTTTGCTGTGTTGTCATGGCTGTGAGTTTTACTCTGCTTGGCTAGACTGGGGAGTTACTAATGAATGACAATAGGTTTCTCTGTTTGTTGGTAACTAAATGTTTGGGAGAGGGGATTCGCATGGCGTTTGGAGGGGGGGTGAATTCATGTCAAAACGAGGTCTGGATCTCGAAGATATTTGGCATAGAGGTGTGCTTGGAATGTTATGAGATGGTGGCATTTAAGCCAGAATGATATTACATTATACGCATAATCGAACATTATACCAGACTATTTTACCCTCCTGGGCATCCACGCCTTCCTTGCAGAAGCTATTCCTTTGCGCCAGTCTCCAGTCTCCAATTTTCAATAACCAAAACACCTTCGCTAATGCTCACTCGAACGCCCATATATAGTATACAACCAAGAAAAATGCTAAACAATGGACGTAAAAGTCCATTCCTCGGTCCTTCAAAATCGAGATTAGAGCTCTTACGTCATGGTTCATGGCAATGAACTTTGAATACTTGCAGTATCCATAGTTTCATTGTCACCCCAAATATCTCGACTCTCTTGTTCCACAGATCTCATTGCAGAAGCTACTTCCTCCAACTTTGCTACCACATCAAGAACTCCTTCATTAACCCTTTGGAAATACCTATCATTAGCCTCCCTTCTCTTCCTTGCCAACACAATATCTGCCTTTGTATCCTCCTCCAATCTACTACCCATCTTCTCTCCGCCTCCACTATGAACCCCACTAGTGGTCGTACTCCTTCCTCCATCCGTCCCAGATGTCGCCGTCATTCCTGGTCCATCTAGAGCGCTCTTCCCCTCACTTCCCAATGTCCCACCCCCAATATCACCTTTACGTCCCTCATCAACCACATCATCCGCTTCACTCCTAGCCCACGCTTGCGCCAAAGCTATTTGTGTTTTCCTTAATTCCTCTAAAGCTCTACTATGTTCAGGTCCAAATACATGCGTCGCATTTACAGCACTAAGCTCAACTTCTTCTAATGTACTTTGCATTTCGGCCCATAATGCGTCGGTTCTCGCAGCTTGTTTTTGTCCTTCGGAAGGGGCTTTCCCTGCGCGAGGAAGGGAAGTTACGGGAGCTGTATCGGTCGGTCCATCGAGATTAGTTCGTAATGGTAATCTTTGGGAACGTTGACGGACGAGTGAATTTCTAGAAGTGGTAGGATATAAGGTTGATGATTGATTGGACTGTACAGGCGCTAGAGTACCTTCTAATGATACGTGAGAGGCATTTTGAGAAGGTGTAGTAAAAAGTACTGGAGGTGGATCACGAACTGGTCGTTTTGATTTTGAGTTTGGTGATTGATCCATGCTGGGCCTTGGAAACGAAAAGATTGTATGTGTGGATGGAAGTAATTTGGAGAAGCCGGGAGATGGAAGTTATCGAGCTTCTTATCAGTGATTGTTATCGCCGACAATCTGCATCAAATGTAGATGCCTTATAACAAAATCAATTCTGACTACTCTCAGGCCACAATTTCTTCTGCCCAGAAATTCATTTGTTCGCTTAGCGCATTTTAGCTTCACGCACTCATTGTGATTTTGAAATTCTTCTCTCCAGCTTTCGCAACGACATATCGACAACTAACCATAACCCATCAATCCCGTTATCGCCTTAATTCGGTACATACCCAATTTCTCTACGATTTATATTCTCAATAAATTTCAATCAGGAGCTAATTCGAAATTTCTCAATAGCAATCATGGGTAAAGGAAAGCCAAGAGGTCTCAACGCCGCTCGCAAACTTCAAAACCATCGTCGCGAGCAAAGATGGTCTGATTTGTCCTACAAGAAGCGTGCTTTGGGTACCGCTTTCAAGTCCTCGCCATTCGGAGGTTCCTCCCACGCCAAGGGTATCGTTCTCGAGAAGGTCGGAGTCGAGGCCAAACAACCTAACTCCGCTATCCGAAAGTGTGTCAGAGTCCAGTTGATCAAGAACGGAAAGAAGGTCACTGCTTTCGGTATGTGGATTATTTTATATCATGGGATTCCTGCGAGGTGGCGGAGGATGAAATGAAGATCTGCGGGCGAGAGAAGGATGATATGAGGCATTTGGAGAAATGAGAGAATTGAAAATGAAGATATACTAATATGATTTTTTCTCACAGTTCCTAACGATGGTTGTCTTAACTTTGTCGATGAGAACGACGAGGTCCTCCTCGCTGGTTTCGGTCGTAAGGGAAAGGCCAAGGGAGATATTCCTGGTGTTCGTTTCAAGGTCGTCAAGGTCTCTGGTGTTGGATTGTCTGCTTTGTGGAAGGAGAAGAAGGAGAAGCCAAGATCATAAACGAATATGTTAACGATTTTGCTTCTTGGGGGGAATGGGATATGGTGTTTTGCTGTCGCGACGATCGATGGCTAGGCTCAGAATCTACATATAGGGCATAGTACTTTCACACCTGCAGCATTTGGGAATGAAATATCTCCATTGATCATGATCACCATCAATTTGTCTTTTGGAACGGATTTGGTTCGTGAAAATGGTTCTTGTGTGATGAATATTTGGGAGATTGGAATGGAGTCAAGATAATGGCTGGTTGTTCGTCTCGAGTCGATGTTTGTGGGCTTGGGGCGAGTGGCAAAGTGTAATTTGACTTCACAATTTCCCCTCACTCGGTGCTCCCAAACGCTCAAGCGCGCAATATGCCAATTTCCTAGTGACAATACCTCATCTAATAGTTCTCAGCCATAATATCGAAAAGTATCACCAAAAATGGCAAAAGAAGCAATTGATGTGACGCTCCGCTAGCTACCTGGGGACTACTGCCATGGCAATTACTACCTAGGTACTGTATATCCTTTCAACAGACATCAATGCTGCCAATGTGTATATAGTAGCACACTTACATTCCAACCATTCTCTCAATGCCTGACAGGTATATTTCGTTCTTATGTGGCCTGGCTATTTATATTTGTCCTGGCATATAACCCCCTAGCCAATAAGATGCCCAATTCTGTTTTTTTACATGCCGTGATCCTGAAACAGTCACAATGCTACTGCAGACCCATGAGCTCTTTTCAATCCGCATTCACCCACTCGTCATTACTTGAAACCCATCTGCCGGATGCTTCTTTTTGCATCAAAAAAGGAAATTATCCTTTCGGGTGGTATGATGCTACTCACAAAAGAGGGAATAGAAATGCAAAAGCTGCAGGCAAGCCCTATATGCTACAATCATTCTCCGAGAAACTAGTGATATGTAATTGCGCGACTTAATTCTCACAAGCACGTTACACCAACCACACTAGCAGGTCTCCGAGTCAGATCATTGAGGATTGGAGTCATGTCTGTAAAGTCTTGGTGTAGCGTCTGCATCTATCAACCACTTTCTGATTTTACTCTAGTCATGCGGAGTTATGATGCAAAACATAGGTCGATTTACTGAACAACTAAATATTACAAAATAAACATTAAAATAATAAACTTTTATGTGATACACAGTATCAACCTCCTCTCCACTCTAGTCTCCATCTAGCCTTCCCGAATGCTCATACAGTCATCGAAATGACGTCTCCTTTCTCTTCCCTCCCATGACCCTCTTTTACTCCTCCCAAACATTAACCGCCATGGCCAACGCCGCCACATCCGGAGTCCTAATATAATCCACCTCAATCAAGTTCGGTTTTCTTTCTTTCCCTTCCCCCCGTACAAGTCCTTCAAAATTGCTAAACAGACTCCGCTGCGCCAATATCGCATACCCGAGTTTAGAACTCCACCAATTACCGATGTCGGCCTGGGAAGTATATGGTTGAGTAAGAATCCAGGTTGATTTATGCATTTGAGTGGGGTTTGTAGAGGTGATGGAAGAAGAGGACTTGTGTTGGGAAAGGAGGTGGACTTGAGAGGAGGCTAGCTGTGAAGGCGAGTTAGTGGCAGAGTAGTGTCCGGTTATGGGGAGGCGGCTCGCCGGGAGGAGAGTGAAGGGTATCTTGTAGTCGGCGGGGGTGTGGCGGGAGAGGGGGTCAGGCACTGGATTGAGTGGTTAGTTTGAGGCGGTTAGGATTTCCTAGAGGCGATCTTGATACAAATGATGTGTACAGGGGAGTAAAGACGCGAAGACGAAGGGAAATTACGACATAAACGCTGGAATGCATTAAGGAGGAGCTAATGATTTAAGACTGAATACAGAAAGGAATACTCTGGAGATTGTAATATTTAGATCGACTTTTAAACTAGGAACTGCAATGTGAAAGGACAAGCAATACTTACGAGTGCTATCAGGAATTTTAGATGCTTTCCGCCTACCAATAAGGGGAGGAGATGGCTCTTGCGAATCGTGCGAATCTGTGTTGTTCAACGGTGCAAAGTATTCATCCGAACTAACAGAATCACAGCCAGCTGAAGATGCTGTCAGAGTGTTATTTGCATCTCTTTTCCTCCTCCCAGACAATGCCGAAGCTGGTACCGGTGCATCGCAAGGAATCCTCACCAACACCGTACTATTCCCCCCCTTGGTTACAAAAGTGTCAAAAGGTAAAAGTGACAGATCCCATTCCATTCCTCGTGGTTCCTGCCAGGCATGACGAATACCACTCAACAAGTCGTAAAAATTCATCCAATCAATCGCACTAAACTTCCTCCATTTCCACGCATTACTTGCATCATGCGATATATCAAGCACGATAAGTTCTCCGGGATGTGCTTTTGTAAATCTATTCACGTCTCCAATTACACTCTCAATACTCTGACCCGTGGCACCCCACATTTTCCCTGCGGAATATGCACCATGGTAAGTCATCCATTTCCCTTCAAAAAGCACAGGTCGTATATCTAACCAGCGGGCTCCGAGAATTAGTTGCATGAATACAGGGTTGGATTGTGTTTGTGTGTTGTGTAAGGTACCTGGCCCTTTTAGTGAATCGCTTATGATATTAGCGCCGGCATTGTGAGCCATGGGCATACAGATTTGACGGAGAGGTCTTGAGGAGAGAGTGGAAATAGTCCTCTGCATCCAGGGGATTGGAGGGTTGGAGCTGACATAGGGGGTTAAGATACCATTTCCTGCAAGAATGAATGGATGCGGATGATTTCTGCTGTAAATCAGGTCGATGATTGAATTTTTGGGATTGTTGAGCGAG